ATAAAAAATTGTTTTGTATGCTCCAATTACTATCTACTATATGTTAATTTTACGACTAAAAATCCAAGATTAGGTTCAAAATTATATTAACCACTAAAAATGTTCTCATCTATTGTTTAACGTTAAATTGTATATACATACTTCAGAAAATATAAGCAAAAACATAATCGGCTGCCTGAATGTTCAAAGTTACAGAAAAACTGCCTGAATGTTCAAATTTTGTTTCAATGCGAAAATCTGTCAAGCTTTCATTACTACTGAACTGATTTTAATAAAATTGAGATAATTTGATTTCTGGTTGTTAAAAATGTGAATTATCACAGCTCAGTAAGCTTTACAAATATGGTTGTTATTGGCCGTTAAACCGCGAACTTGGGGAAAAAAGCTATGAAAGGAAATGCTTAGCCACTCCACCTATTTTGACGATATGTGGTATTCAGATACTGGAAACATTAACAAAGCTATGCTACATCTTATCCTCAAAATTTGCTATAGAGAACGCGGTATGATCGCCTTCCATTCGGACAAAATTAGTATTCATATAATTTCTTAAATTAGTATTTCCTTATTATTGGTTACCTTTAAATGAGCTGATCTGTTTGGCTACGTTCTTTAACATCGACAAATTGCAATACGTTGCAAGGAATATAAATTATATATAGAATAAAAAATTAATAAAAAGTTATGTTACAGTAATCATTAAACCATCTAGTAGGCATTTGCCAACTTTTATGTTTGCCGAAAAATTTCAAAGCATGTTTTTGATATTTTCTGTAGATTAGTTTTAAAAAGATTATTGGAAAAAACCTTGAAAAATTGTAACAATAATAATAATAATAATTTTTATTGCAATAAACTGTATACAATTTATTCAAATAATGTCTTAATTTAAAATAATCTACAATAAAAGACACCTGGACTAGGATAAACCTGTATCTCAGGTGTGTGTGTGTTAAAAGATACATTAACAAATATTTTCTGTTTCTTCTATAAAATGAACAACCTACTAACTTATTAGGGTTAGTTCGTAAAATATATTATCACTAATTTACTTATGAAACTTAACTTAAAACCATCAGCAACTTATCCGTATCATCGTATGACTGTAACCATGTTCGAATAACATTTTTACAATCTGCCATTTTAATGGACATATTATGTACAAAATTCCACTGGCTTCATTGTACAGAAAATGGCCAAGGAATGTAAAAATCTATGCATGATAGAATGCCTTATTCTAATGTTAGTGTCAATTACTTTATCTTTGCATCTTTTATAAGTAACCTCCTTTCTGTAGGGAAATTTTAAGTGCTGTTTTGGTAACTTATAACGAAAAACTGACGAACTGAGAGGACATCATAGGTTTGATATAAGAGATGGGACGGGGATAGGATAGGGCGGAATGTTCCGACTTTTAATACAGCTCTTTGAGCGCGGTCCAGTAGTAGCAATGTAGTTTTAGCTGCTCCTCCCCATGAGGTTATACAATAAGTGAGAATTGACTGACATAATGCTAAATAGACTTGCTTTGCTACCTAAATATCAGCAAAAGAACGAATCTTTTTAAAAACAAACATAAGTTTACGGACTTTACTGCGAAGGTGGTTTATTGGGTTTTTAAATGTAAACGTAGAATCTATAACTATTTCAAGGTACTTAATAGATTTTGTATTAAAAATAACTGGGCAGTTACATTTAGACTCTCCGACTGACCAACATTGATGTGCATAAACTTCTGGAATGGTTATATGCTGGGTTGAGCAGCGCATAGAAAAATGAATATCTTTGGTTTTGTCCGTATTCAGTGTTAATATGTTTTGTTGGAGCCATTTATTAAACCTGTCAAAACCTTGCGGTGCGCATAAATAAACCTTGTCTACTATATTTGCGGAAAAAAGGAGCACGATATCATCTGCGTAAGATATTATTTTACCTGAGTTAATTTCAAGATTAACGTAAAATAAAATTAATAACTCGCCCAGTTAAATAAAAAATTTCATACAAACTGTAACACACTATTTCACCCTCTTAGGGGTTCTTCGAATTTTGTTTAATCCTTTCTTAGTAGATGTCTACGACATAACGTCCTACTGTCCAAATTTCAGATTCATTCAGAAGATATAGTAGATACAATGAGAATAGTGACACATGTCGGCAAATCATTATCATCATCATCAATAAAGGATACGGATTTATTACCACATCCGAAAACTAAGGTCGCTTGCTTTCATCATCATCATCATCATCATTACAGCACTTTCCAGTCCAGTGCGAACATAGGCCTCCCTCAATGAATGCCACAAAGCACGGTCCTGAAGCACCTGCATCCATCGAATTCCTGCATGTCTTACCAGATCATCATTCCATTTAAGGGGGGGGGTCGCCCTACACTACGCCTACAGGTACAAGGCTGCCACTCGAGAACATTTTTCCCCATTGGTTGTCGGTTCTTTGAGCTATATGGCCTGCCCATTGCCACTTCAGGTTACTAATCCGATGGGCTATGTCGGTCACTCTGGTTCTACTGCGGATATCTTCATTTCTAAGTTTATCACGCAGATAAACCTTGACCATAACCCTCTATGTAGCTCGCTGAGCAACCTTGAGCGTCCTCATATTGCCAGCAGTGCATGACCATGTCTCAGATCCATAAGTCATAACTGGCAACACGCACTGGTTGTACAATCTGGATGGGAAGATGTGTCGTAATTTCCCGAACGCTGCCCAGCCGAGTTGAATCCGTCGATTGACCTCTTGGTCTTACCTGGGAAATTTGGACTTACCTAGTTGGACTATTTGTCCCAGGTAAACGTAGACAAAATGGTTTTGTAAAGTGGTCACTTGTAAGTAATTTTCATGATTATTTCAAAGTTACATAATCCTAAAAGAAAAGAAGAAAGCATGATTAGATTTACTAGCAACCAAAGCTACATACACTAAAGCAGACGTCTAAATAAGAGAGTAAAAGAAGTAGTTGAAGGGAAAAGAAATAAAGAACGGATAAGAATGATAGAAGGATATCTGATAATTTCCAGGCTAATATAAAAATGTTCTGGTAACTCGTAAGAACTGCCAGGGGAAATACAAAACAGCCTATAATTAATGCTATAAGAGACGAGAATGGATGTATTCAGAATGATGAAGTTTCGAATTTAAACAGATGGAAGGAATACTTTGAAAGCGTGTTTATGAGTGAAAAGTCATCTGAATTAAATTAACTAGCAATTCCGAAAGAAGTGGAAGGGGGTATGGAGATAAGTATAGATGAAATAATGAAAGCAATGAAAAGCATGAAAGCAGGTAATGCAGCTGGATATGATAGAGTATCACTCGAGATGCTAAGGGCTGGAGAGGGAGTGGTGGCAGGCCTAGCGTACACCTTGTTTAATTTATGTTGGGAATTAAAACGGGTACCGGATGACTGGTGTAAAGCAGTTATAGTAACAATATATAAAGAAAAAGGGTCACAGCAGGACTGCAAAAACTACCGTGGTATCAGCTTGCTTAGTATTGTGGGTAAACTGTATGCTAAGGCGTTAATTGAAAGAGTTAAGAAAGAAACTGATGGAAAAATTTGGGATGTGCAAGCGGGTTTTAGAAATGATTGCAGAGAAGTTTTTGGCCAAAAACCAGAAAGATTTTTGTGCGTTCATGGACTTGGAAAAGGCTTATGACAGAGTGGACAGGCATGTGTTATGGCAAACACTGAGCTCATATAGGTTGAGCGCTGGTTTGATACAGGCATTAAGGTCTCTTTATAGGGACTGTAGTGCTTGTGTCAGGATCAATGGGGTCTACTCGGACTGGTTTGGCATCCAAAAAGGTGTCAGACAGGGCTGTGTAGCTTCCCCTTGGCTGTTCAACCTATTTATGGACAGGTGTTTGCAAACTTTGAAAGATAAAGAATGTGGGTTAAGAATGGGCGAGTTAACCGTCAAATGCCTTTTGTATGCCGATGATCAAGTCATATTTGCATCGTCGGCGGTTGAGTTGCAAATGATGGTTACATTAATGAACTTGGCATTAAAAGAAAGAGGAATGAAAGTGAACGCAAGTTAGACGAAAGTGATGGTTTTTGAAAGAGAAGAAAGCAAAATGGTATGTGATGAGTTTGTGTATTTGGGATGTGTATTTAGCAGGGATGGTAGATATGATAAGGATATAGAACGACGAGTAAATGCAGGGAATAGAGTGAATTGCACTACACTCTATTATGAAGAACCAGAATGTGTCAAAAAAGGCACGTATAGTAATTCATAATGCTGTGTTAGTCCCTACTTTAATGTGTGGTAGTGAAAGCTGGGTGTGGCAGAAGAAGCACGAAAGTAGAATAAATGCTGTAGAAATACGGTCTTTAAGGAGTATGCTAGGGTTGAATCTGAATGACAGGGTGAGAAATTGCGTGATAAGAGATAAATGTGGTATGCAAGATGATGTTGTGACCAGGATTAAGAAAGGAATGCTTCGGTGGTTTGGTCATGTAGAATTTAATGAGGAAAGAGTGACAAAGCAAATTTATATGGCAGATGTGAACGGCAGAGTTGGGAAGCGATGCCCTAGAATAAAGTTTATAGACCAAATTGGCGATATTTTGAAAATGGGCCACGTTAGAACTACCCTTAACCGATGAGCATGTATGCGTAGATATATGGATGTAAAGGAGGCGAAAGAGGTATGTCAGGATCGTGGCAAATGGAAGTCCGTAGTCTCTGCCTACCCCTCTGGGTGACAGGCGTGAGTGTTTATGTTATGTTATGTTATGTTACATAATCCTAGTTCTCACATATATGTAATGTTGTTATTGATGGGATTTTCTTACTTCATACAATGAAAAATGTCCCTAAACTTTTAGAAATTATTTCATTTTGAATTTTAATCACACTTAGGAGTAAAAAATTAAAACGTCTTTTAATTTTGCAACGTTTTATATTATATGTTAAAATGTTATTGTGTATTTTACATTCATTTACAAGTATTCATTTTTTTACTACAATTTTATTTCATTTCGTTCTCCTCTCTATAGAAATGTGGTGACCATAAACAGGTTTCAGCAATACATCAGCCTTTATTTCCATTTTGGTATGATCTCCTTTCACGCGATAATGCCGTAGTACGTGGGCTAGTGTAGTCTTCATTGACATAAAAGCAAATGATTTCCCTGTGAAAATAAATGTTTATCTTGTAAGCGTACACTAGTACTAAGAGCATATACATATACTCGGTGTAAGAACATCCACGACTCGATATCGGCCCGTGGATATCGTAAGAGCCGACAGAGGGAAACTAAAGCCGGGAATAGGCAGCTGTATTTTCCTGATAATAACTCAAAATAATAAAAAAACTGCGGTTGCTAAGCTGCATGCCAGCGTGACTTCATGGGTTAAACCTCTCTATGAAGCAATCTATAGGGTAGGCCTATGTTAAAGCACTAAACTTTAGGCAGGTTGTAATATATGCATGAAACTTAAATGACAAACACCAACAACTCAATGTGGTATACATTGAGTTGTTGATGTTTCTCATATACACCGGTCGTATATAATGTCCTCCAGACCGAATTTCGGCCACAGCAGCCTACCTCAACGAAGGCTAGCCAACGGCGCGGGACAGGATTATAGTGCCCAAGTGTGTGCGCAAGCACATGTACACTCTCTATTCCCTCACTCTCATAATCCAATGGGACGGTAAACCGACACGACTGGAGAGAGATCAGAGAGACCAACGGCTTTACATGCTTTCCGAGGCACGGGGGTGAGACACCGCCAACTTCCTGACTCCGGGCAGCTACTGAGAATTTCTTGGCAGAAAAACTCAATAATTGATTTTTTTTCCTGACCCGGGATTCGAAACCAGGACCTCATGATCAGTAGCCGCACTACTACAACCGACCAACGAGGCAGACTATTTCGCCGGAAAAGTTGTCCTAATTTCGAAAGGGAAAGTTTTCTAAAGGATGAGAAAGTTTTCTAAAGGATGATAGATGAATAGGGAAAAAAGATTTATCATGTCCACAGTTATCGGAAGGACATAAGAGTAGAAGGTTTATTACGTTTTCTATTCTCATAATTATATGAGTTCTCGATGTAGCTGTATTATACCTACAGAACAATTCAATGGACTTGACTGAGAAAGGAAAATCACGTTCTCAGATAATATTTATGAATAAATGCAAAGGCAAAACAATGCTGCGACAGGCCGCGTTTCGTATAGCAAGTGATAAAAAGACACATTTTAATGGTAACGAGATTTTAGTCCTTACAGGTGAAAACGGAACTGTATTTTAATTCTTAATCAAGGATCGTTTTTTGGTAATGTTTGTACTGCTGGCCAAGAGGCCTTTACAGTTCTTTTTCAAGTTTCCTTTACGGGTTTTTACTCATTTTGTTTGAGGATGAATTATCCAACTGTGGATGCAGTGATCCAGTAACTATCAGGAGACTTGTGCTCTCGCATATCACAATTAGCTATTAGCTTTTTTAAATTATTTGATATTCTCGAAGTGAAACGCAGTAGTTTATTTCAATATGGGAAAAAAGACTTAGAATTTTCTAAAAGTTCATACTAAGATTTATAATCGTATATACCAGCGTCATATTATTGTGTTTTTAAGAACTAGTCTACTACAACTGCCCTTCTCTATCTGTATTTAATAAAAAGATGATTATTTCCAAAATAACATAGTATTTAAGTACCTACATAAGTCAAATACGAGACTGGTTTAGGAGGTTATCTGTGGTCGTAACATACTTCGCAAACCGAGAAAATAATAAGATTGTCTCAATCAAATCAAATTAAATCATTAAATCAATGTCTATTAGCCATTTCTATATCGGAAGTTTTAGTCTTGAGTTCCGGCTCGAGCCAAAATCTGTTATCGCTCGGGCCTTGGACGAATCACGTAAAGCCGTTTGCCCTGCGCATTTATTTCTCTCCGGTTTTGGACGCCGGTTCAGGATTGCCGACTCATCAATCTAAGAGAGTGAAGGAATGTAGAGCGAGCCTGTTCCTGTGTACACACTAATACTATATAACTCCATCACGTATAGGCTCCGTTGGGACTGGGCGCCGTGACAGGAATTTTATTTGGATGATATTTTTATTATACTAGACCAGTGTGGAAGGTCATCATAGCTTCCGTTCTTAAAGTATTTCTTCCATTTATTTGAAATGTTTACAAGAAGACAAAGTTACGGAATATAAATCATACCGATACAAATTCTCCTTCCCATGTTAAAAGCAGCAAAAGCAGTAGAGCACGAAGGTAAAGTCCGGGTATCTAGCCATCGTTCTGGTTTGAACTCTTCAGCATCATCTCCCCACGTTGGATGACGATGGATACCATACAAGGATATAATACATGGTCGCCCAGCAGTCAGTGTATAATTTTCTGAAAAAATAATAGAACTTTTTTCGTTTCCTCTACGCCTAAAAATACCAAATCAATTTCTAGGATTTTATTGGCATACTGATGCTTTTGTATAAAATTATTACAAGTCACTATTGATTTCGATCAAGTGTTGATGATAACTTATCGCTGCAATAGCAAATGGAACTATTTATTTATTTATTTATTAGGGATAACAACAGCCTTCATTCTATGAAAAAAAAATCTTATATAATATGTTTTACATAGGGCCAATAATAGTCATCCTCTTTTCACAATTTATCACAGATCAGAAGTATGAAAAGTTGAAAAAAAGAATATTACAAAACCTTAAATCAAATTTATTATTATATACTATTGCATCTAAATGTTGACTTATGGTCATTCAAAACTTTTAAACTTAAATACGATGTTGTAATTTGACTAAAACGATAGGCAACTAGTTAAAAGTCGGTGTTTAACTTACGGCTAACGTTTAATTTATCGGCTTATTATTCCTATCCCAGACTTTTGATCTAAAATTTATTGATAAGTTTTTTATATTACTTACTTAGCTTAACATTTTTATCAAGTATTCTAACTGTCAATGCAACTATAGGATATATTCGCATGGATTCCTTCAAAACAGCTTCTAAATACTCCAATCGAGATAAATCTTGTTTAGTGACGTCCCTGTCGTCCTCTCCGAAGACATAATGTAGCCTACGAAATGAAAAGCTAATTAATAAAAAATATTCAAGTGGCACCTTCATACTGAAGTTCTGTGTTAAATGACCCGACCCTAAGTCGTTTGGGTTCGGGAAAATTGCCGGTGATAAACAATTTCACAGACAGGTTGTTCGAGGACGAAAACTCGTAGTAAAATACACAGTGATGGACTGCCAAGCATCCAGATGATGTGGATGATATCGAGAATTTCGATGTGCCTTTGTAAAATTTGACGGCTGCAATTAATACGAACAAATCCTCAGAGCACTCCCCAAGGTAAATGCTATAGAAAATGCAGAGGGATGCAACATACCTTCGCATCACCAGTGAATCTCATTCGTCGGTCACTCTGCGCTGGATGCATTCAAGTGGAAGGAGCTGGCACTGTAGTGCCCCCGCCCAGTGATGAGAACAGTACTTCATGTGAGGCTGAACTTGCGCCTTGAGAACAAGCGGTGTGCTGGCATGAAATACTCTCCCGCGCTGCTAAGCACGCCAAGCTTTTTAGAGGCCTTTTCTTTTCTTTTATTCCAAGTGGCCACAAAACTGCACATTATTCGAAACGTCGACGCCGAGAATTGCGATGCTAACTTAGGTAGCAAGGGGAGTGCCCTGAAAGTGAGGAGATACGATACGACGAGAGGTTCTTTATGGCGGTAAGCCCACAAACTTATGTCTACTGGAGATTAAACTGGACTAGATTTAGTCGGTCCCAATTCGATACTTTGTTTAACAAAGTCTCGACTTCAGACAAAAGTTTGTTCTAATACTCGGCGACGTTTTCCCGAAAAATATTGATACTGTTGGTGTACAAAGCATCACCAGTGCTGGCGTCCACATAGCAATAAATGTTACCACTTTGCAACATATCATTGATACGTAGAAGAAACAGCGTTAATCAGAACATAAACTGCCTACTATGAATATGATGCTCCGATCAGCAAGGGAACTGGTGATCCAATTGCACAATTTCTGGGGAAGCCCATAGGAAGGGAGTTTCAAAAGAAGCGCTTTGTGGCAAACCCGATTGAAGCCCTTCCTCTTGTCCGAATTAATGGCCAATGGTTGGACTCTACTGCCTCAGTCCATCTGTGAGTCAGGTAAACCGGAAAACCACCAGCTGATCGACCCCGAATAAAACCGTATTGACGGTCACTAATCAGCTGGTGATCGTCAAGGCACCTCATGAGCTGGAGGTTTATAATGGATTCCATTATTTTGCATAATAAGGAGGTCATCGCAATAGGCCTGTAGTTGTACGGCTCTGAGCGGTCGCATTTTTTAGGAATCGGATGAAATAAAGTTGTCTTCCTTGAATTCGGGACTGTGCCTTGGGAGTAAGAGTACCGAAGCATGGAGCACTTGTACCGCTCCGCTACCGAGGGAAAGCCGAGACAAGAACGAGAAAACCGTCTAAAGAAGAGACTTTGGAATTTTCTCGCATAGATTTATTGTCCTTGTCATTATAGTTACAGTGACAGCACCAGCGTAAAGTAGAAGCTTTGCTTCTACGAAAAAAATACAACAAAATATATGACGTTTGTATTATGACAGATGTGCTACTTTTTCTTGTATGAAAAGTTATGAGTAAATTATTTAGATGGGCCTATCCTTCCTTCCTTTTTAAATCATTGATATAATGCTAATTCCAGGATTCAAGAAGATCTGGATATTAAAAATAAATGGATATACTTATCCTTGACGTTTTATTATATACCCTTTTCTCTAATTATAAAACGTCTAAAAGCTAAAGCTAAGACTAAAAGCTTCTATTAATGAGACACTTTCAATTAATTAGTTATCTCTTGGTGTGAGACTCTTGTACGGTCAACGACGCTTAGTAGAAAGTTGTAGATACGTGCGTTGCGCTGCACTGTGCCCAAGTGAGAGTGAGCTTGCGTTGTCATTCTCTGTTAATTATTGGCCCGAGTGACTACACGTCAATTATTGGCCCGAGTGACTACGCCTCCTGCGATTTTGCGTTTTTGTAAAATATTCCTTAACGCAATAGTTTAATTTTTGTTGCATGAATGCTAGAGATATGTGTAGGCGTAATTGTGTATTTATTGTTTGTCTATGTGTGATATCTGCGAACTGGCGATACGCGTTCCGATATTAAAAGACAGTAGAAGGCATTTCTAGTGCCTTATTATTTAGATTTCTGTGAGGAAGAGTGAACCTTGTGTACAGTCCTAAAAGGCTTATAATTAGTACAATTTGGTAAAGATTTAAGCGAGTTATTATCTTTTTCAGACGTTGATTTATCAGTCATCTCAATTGAAGGTGTATTTGTAGAATTATTTTTCGATGACTTTTTATAATTAAATTGGTTAAATATTTGTATACAATATCCAATATTATCGTGACGATATCTGAAGCATTTAAATAATTTATAGGCAAAGCATAAAAATATTATTACAATAATTATATTTACTTCCATTTTAATTATTAATAGTAAATGTAGTATGAGAGATATTTTATAAAATGTGATTTCAATTAAAGATTATTTTAATTCAAATTCTAAACTTTTCAGCTCATGATTTGCATATTATAAGCAATCCAAATTAACTTTGCTTAAATTGGCGTTAAATGTGGTAAACTTTTCTTTAATATATCCTTTTTGCAACAATCATCTTTTGTTATATCAATGGTTATATCAATAGTTGATTTAATCCAAAATTGATAAGCAATTGTAGGCAATAATTGAATAATAATGGAATATTCGGTTCGTTTGAAAATACTTGTGCTAATAATGGAATGATTAGTAATATATAAGGAGTAGTAAATAAGGCTTTGACTTTTAAGATTTGAGTTGATTCTTTATATAAATCAGACGTGAAACACGTACACGAATCTGTTAAGATTGTTTTAGGGAAACAGAAAATAAACATAAAATGTATAAAATTTTTGGCTATTTTATAACTGGTAGCTGTGAACAGGGGATAAGCACATGTAAATTTAGTTAAATCAAGTTGCAATGTAAGGATGAATTTGAAGTTTTGGAAACCTGCGTCGGGTAACGGATAAGCAATATCAGAAGCTAATCATTCAGATGGTCTAGTAGAAGTAGAAGTTGTCTCAATTGGAGCCTTATTCGTATTCTCAATGGCTTACTAATTTGACATAATTGACATTTCTTTACATAATCTACATCCGTCTGTACCGAAGTTATGTTAGATATTACATTACTTAATAAATATACGTTGAGTTAGGTATGATTTGATTTATTTGAGTTTGTATTTGTTAGAACAACAAGGATCTATTTCTATAGTCTTTATTCTAGTAATAAAAGTACAGCCACGCTGCATCTACAGTTGTAGCGTGAATGGGTGACCACAATAGGTGAATCGTGATTCTCTTTTGAAATTTAACTGATTTCGACCGATGTAGGATAAATTAACAGATTTTTATAAATATGAATTTTATTGTTAATTTATGGAAAATACAGGCAATCATATTGTATACATTAATATTATCTATTAAATTTTAATATTATAAAAGTCCGATAAGGCGAGATCAGGATTCTCAATAAATATTTATCTCTATGTTTTATCTTTAAATTTAGTTTCTTCATAATGATGAATTTTCGTGTAGTGTAGAAAAAATAAGATGTCTAAATCTAAAATTCTAAATTAAAATGAGAATTCAATAAATCTTTAGGCTTATCAAACTGCGTTAATATTTCTTCACATTGAGGTATAGATGAGTCAAAATCTAAAGAGACTGGACTTGCAAGAGTTTTTAGGTAAATGTAATCCTTGAGTACACTCTAAGATTACTGTATTTGAAATAGAAGTTCTATTAGTAAATTGGTATTTAAAGTATTTTTCATAAATAAAATTATTTAAAGTGTTAATATTATCTGTAATAACATTAACGGGACAGCGACATAATACATCAACGTTAGAATTCAGAGGGCTTCGTTATAAACAATTTCGTAATCGTATTTTTCAAATTTTAGGCGACGACTAACGAATGAGTCTCAAAATTGTTGTTTGAGTCGACTATTGAGTTTTTTTCGCACTTTATGAACAGAGTTTTTAGTTTGATTGATTGTTCTTGCACTCAATCGTTTACCTAATAACTTAAGTCACCAACTGATATTTTGATTCACTTAACACAGCATGGTTGATCGTTATATCTTTATTTTGAAAAAGACTTATAGTTTGGATTTTTACTTGATTTTTCATATCGCCTGAGTAACACTTGATCTAAATTAACGGATTTATACACTTTCAGCTTCTTATATAAAGAAAAATATTTTTTATTTCACTTTAAATACGGACTCGATGTGAATAGGGGCACTGTGACCCAATCTCTTATTTTTATCTCCGTTATAAATAAAAGGGACACATTTAAATCGTAGATATAACAATATACTCACTCTTCAAATAATCGCTCCTGTACCTTTGGATAGGACCCTATTAATACTAATGTAAACATAAGTACGGTCGCTGTAGACTCATGTCCGGCGGCAATCATTGTATCTACTTCCTCTCTTATTTCCAAGTCATTAAAAGTTCCCGTTTCGATCGATAGTTCCAAAAGAAGATCCAAGAATGCCTTAAATTTGGTACCTAAAAATTCAAAAATATCATAACATTTTTTTTAGTATTTTCTACTTTTGCTTAAAAAAGTATTTATAAAGTAAAAGTCTAGTGACGTTTGTATTTAAGGTAAATTCCCGGTAAATGCAATTATTTTTAATCTGGGTCTATACTCTATGTATATATTGACTTACAAATACATACATTAATTAGGTTAAAATAAAATCTGGTCGATTTTTTATAGAATAAAGGTAACAAACGAGCACATAGTCAACTTATGGTAAGTGGATGCTGTGGCCCAAAGACATCAATCATCAATCAACATTTATTTTTGATTAAGAATCATAGTGCAGATGCGATGTCACCCGCGTGGACTAAGATTTTTTTATAGAGTAAGGGTGATAAACATGCACACAGTCCACCTGATGGTGAGTGGATGCTGTGGCCCATAGACATCTACATTTAATTTCGATTAAGAATCAAAATGCAGGTGCATTGTCACCCCTGAGGAATGAGATAGAATGCCTCGATTCCAGTTAAACGGCTCTCTACTCTACACTCTCTAAGAAACACAGCAGCATTAAGCTGCTATTTTACGCTGGTATATTGTGAGAGCATTAACCTTCCCCGGTTTAGCCGACCCATTCGTGCTACAAACATAAAATAGCTGCAGCATGGCTGTACCACGTAAAGATGGAATGCCTGATTCCCAGTAAAAAGGGGCTCCGGTTCTGTACACGCACCATAAGGAACACAGCAGCATTAAGCTGCTATTTTACGCCAGTATTCTGTGAGAGCAGCATCCTATCCATCCGGTCGAGCCGACACATTCGTGCTTCAACTAATGGAGCTGCAGCGTGGCTCCATCATGTATACAACGGTACCATATATACCACTTGAATGATCTATTGTCTATCTAAAACGCACATTTAAAAACTTGAGGACAACCGGAATAATAAAAATTATTAACTCATCTTGTTACATCAATAAGTCGTTTTATCACAATCGACTCGCGCAGAGTCCTTGCAACTTCCGCCACGAATGCCAAAAAGGGTTTCCAGGAGGCCTTGGCAACATAAAAACAAACCCCCCCCCAGGGGCGCCCCACCACCCATTGTCAAAAAATTACACAGAGCCGAGGACCCCCCATACAATAAGACATATTAACCAGAAGACAAATGAATATATTTTTCTTTATATTGTACAATGTAGCTGCCTGTCGGCGTAAGAATATCAAATGCCTCATATCCTTCTGTAGAAGTCATGTCGACCGAGGAAAATAAACTAGGAGATGCGCAGCATAACTAAAAGTGCAAAATAAAAACTGCGGTTGCCAAAACGCCTGCCGAGCGTGGCAAGAATGGCGAGTGTATGAGGCAATTTTGAAAATACGAGTAAATGAGGCTTCTATTTTCATTTGAACTTATCCCAAATTGAATGTGATTTATGGGCAACACCGCCTTTGCCTACTGATCGACACTTTTCACTTTGAATTTAAGAGATAAAAAGTACAGAATATTTGAGATTTCTTTAATTAAGTTTTCTTCACCATTTGCCAACAATACTTATTCTGAACATTTACAAATTTGACCGGTTGTTGTGTTGTGCAAAATAACCCTGTATACGAGAAAAAAAAAGTTCGATGTCCGTTCTAATATGAACGGTCTAGCATATACCATGCTGCGGTATCATGAATAGGGATATTAAATCTACGGAACTGTTCTCAAATGTACTAGGCATGGTCATTTCTAGTGTATCCACCTCCCACAGATAGTGTAATTAAGCAGTAAAAACTTTGAGAAAAGAGCCGAAAGTTGGAATTAGTTGAACTGAGCAACATTTGGGAAGCTTTGCTATGCCTTTAGCTCTAGGGACAAAAGTATTCGACCTCCGCCAAACCTATACACTAACAGTAGGACTACTCAACAAATACAAAACCGTTTAGCGAATGAGGGAGAGATATGTCTTCGGAGTTTTGTGTTTGTAAACTGAAATGTCCGTGAGTTAGCCACATCTGTCTTAGAAGTGACAATGATATAAGCGATTAAGAGAGTGAAAACCGTACTGAACCTCTTTTTATAGACGAGGGGACAAACGAGTAAGCGACTACCGTCGCCTTTGAACAATCGCAACGTCAGAAGAATTGCAGATGCGTTGCCGGCCATTTAAAAAGGAGTAAGCTCTTTTCTGGAAGATCCCAAAGTCGTATCAGTTCGGAAAAACAGAAAATAGACCTCCTGACTAGATGAAGTGGTATTGTACACAAGGTACAGCAGCTTAGTAGTGCGGATGGCTTGATGCCAATATCCAGCAATCGATAAAACAAGCTAACAATAATGACAATCACAAGCCTAAATGGTTATACGAGTAACTTTGAATTTGTGATATCATAAATAACGTGATTTTTCTGCACATTAACTTCGGGATTTGAGGCATATCCACTTAATTCTTTCGCTGTATGAAATCAGTGTAAGTACATAAGTAACTCTACCCAATTTCGACCTCTAGTGATAAAACACTATCATAAAACCCTGCAACGTTGAATGCGTGTACATTGGATGCGTAATCTAAAATATTTTGACGTTTTCAACCAGCTAAAACTTTTTTACTATATTTATTTAATAGGGATACGTACCACTTGATGCTTTTAGTCCGTTCTTCTTGTTATTTAAGTACGATGCCTTACGTTCTTGCAATACCTGATCAGATAATTACATAATGTTAAGTAATATGCTTTAATTTCACTGTTTTGGCGAAACTAAAACTAAAGCTACTAAACTACTAAAAGAAAGGGAGGGGACTTTATTCCATGACTATTTTTCAATAAACCGTGTCTATCTTTTTTTAACTATTTTCAACACTTCTTTATCAACTGGCATATTTAATAATGGAAAAAAGAAAGAATTGTTCCTATTTTTAAATCTGACAATAAATAACTAATCTAAAATTGTCGTCCGATTTTAATCCTATCTACTGTGTCGAAGACCTTCGAGGCACTGGTATATTGTCACCTGTACAATAATATCAAACTGATTATTATTAACAATCAGCGTGGTTCCTTAACAAAACGATCAACAAATACTTATCTTATACATCATATTTCAAATCTAATAGAAGCGGTCTATAGTGGCTTGCAAATAGTCAGCATAATATATACAGATTTCACTAGTGTCGACTACGAAACCCTATTGCGTAAATTGATGTCATTTAGTATAACTAAACTTATTCTTGTTTAATTCAAATCATACCTAAAGGTGCGATCACTTAAAGTTGTATGGAATTATGCACAACCTGTAATTTGTAGTTCAATAAGTACAAAATGTAATGCAAAGGTAGAAAGCAACAAATACCTATTGAACCTATTGTAGGATAAGCAAGAAAAAGTGGCGTTTCAGCTTTTATGCCTTCCACTGTGGGTCACAGGCAATCTTATTTCTAAAAACGTTATGAAGCAAGCTTATCGCGCTATTCCAGTTGGGTAATTACACAACATTTCATCAAAATATTTAACAACTCAGTCTTGAAACTTTTTGGCCCAAGTGGTATTAAAATTAACAATTCTATTTTTGCACGCGTTATAGGAAATTTACGATAATGCTTTACTCTTATATCTTAATAAAACACCAAAGAAGAAATTTATGTGTCGTTACCGTATAAGAGATATTGTGCAATATTCTTAAACACTGATCCTGCTTTTTCTTTAAAGAAGACCAGCTGTAGATAAAGTCATTGTGCAGCCAGAACTTTTGAAGTCTTTCAATTATAACGCTGAAGATCTGCTCTGTCGCTACCTCGCATTGGCTATAAAGAATGCTATTTCTTCTGAAATCAACTCCCATGGTAGTCACTGTAACAGATATATTTGCCAATGTTATGTAATGTTTTTAATGAAATGAAAAATTCTTCATTTATAACGGTTAGTTTAAAAATAATTTTCAGAATAAATGTGTTTTTTTTTTCTGTAAGTTATACAAAAAAAACATACTTGCAGTTATCAATCCTTTATAAGATAATTACCAAACCTTTATTGGATTCGTAACATAATTTTTAAAGAATAAATAAATGATGATTAAATAATAACTGACACCGTCCGCTTGTCAGCTTACCGCAAATCTAACATTAACGTTATTAGATGTGTATAAACAAACGTTATCAGTGATTACTCCTTAAAATAATGGTTAACGGTTATTTTATGATTTATGATGCAATGTTTGTAGTAATAAGAGTAATAATATTCAATATAAGGTTACTATTCGAGTTGTATAAAAGGCCGCTGTAACGAATAGATCAGTTAGTTGTTTTGTAATCGCCAATAAGTAAAGAAGTAATAAAGGTAACTCTGCCAGTTTGTAAAAGTGAATATAAAGTATAAATAGTTTGGAGAATCCAAAAGTGCATGCCTCTCAATCGATTAAGTACAAAAAGTATAAAATTGATATAAATTGTATGGTACATTTGCCCTTTGTCTATCTAAAAAAAAATTATAGTCTTTAAAGTTCTAATCGCAATAAAACTTATAAAAGTTAAAAATCATTTTACTAACAAACTACGCGTACTAGGCTATTGATATGAAATATGGAACCAGTTGATATAATTCTCAAGAAAATAAAAAACCCTGGTTTCGATATGTCAATTTTTGACGTCCACGTAAAATTTTTCAAACCGTTTTTTAAATATGATGATGATGTTGTATATAATGATTTTTCTATAAGGTACGACCCTTAACGTATTTAAATAGGCCTTTTCAACCGAAACATCGAGAACATTCCAGCAAAGAACGGCCCTCGACCAACCAGGTGAAGAAAGTTCGAGTGTGGAGCTTTCCAGAAAGCTTAGTTCTTCAATTCGATACTAGATGGCGAAAACACAAAAACCAGAATCCAGCACAAAATATTAGTGTAGACAAACATAAAAAAAGTTATTTTAAATTTGGCGGGAAGTGTGAAACCGTCCATGCTAACTATCTGTAATTTCTAACTAACTAGCTGGCTTCTAACTAACTATCCATAATTTTCAGTGGAGCAGATGACAAATGAAGGCAAAAAATAAACATATAAATTTTGAATAAAAAGAAAACGATCAAACATATCATAATAAAATTAAATTTACCAGTGCTATACATATTATACATACGGATAAAAATATTGTGTACGTGTGTGTGTGTGCGTGCATGCGTACGTCAGTAAGTGAGTTAGTGCGTGCGTGTACGGTTCTTGCATCGAGAGTGTATATAAACCGTACGGTTTATGTCTATTTTTCGGATTTCTGCAATGAAATCCAAAACTGTATTAAGAAAGTTTTGAAAGTGGTAACTGATTTACAATTTCTGATCAATCACATATGATGACAATCATATATGATGATAAATCACATTTCCAATATTACTACATTGATTTCTTTCTGTTTCAACAATGAAAGTGTGAATGAGAGACGTATGTCTTCATCTGTGATTTTAATTATACAATTCTATAACCTATTTGTATTAAGTTATGGAAGAAACAAACCGTCGCGTTGGCTACACTACACCTCCCACCGACAAAAACAATCTTAAAAAATCAAGCTACTATTTTTACGATACCATATATAATTTACAGGACAATACTGAAAATAATTTTAAATGTAAATAAATTATAATCTAAAAGAAGTATATGAAACTGTCATCAAAATTAATCCAGCTTTGAAAAAAATTATTGTCTAGATCCCCTAGCATGCATAAAATGTTGGAATAGTCGCAGTAGATTTCATATTTTATTTATTATCTAATCATATCCGACATTATCAGAGTATTATTATTATGAATTTTATACTCGCATTCGCAATGATTTACAATTTCTACCGACCCGTCCAACTACCGGCCTATCGCCATCACCTCCTTGTTCTCCAAAACAATGGAGTCCATTGTAAACTGCCAGCTCATGAGGTACCTTGAGGATCACCAGCTGATTAGTGACCGCCAATACGGTTTTCGCCGTGGTCGGTCAGCTGGCGATCTTCTGGCTATCTAACTCTCAGATGGGCGGAGGCAGTAGAGTCCAAGGGGGAGGCAGTGGCCATTAGTTTGGACATTGCGAAGGCCTTCGATCGGGTTTGGCACAAAGCGCTTCTTTCCTATGGGCTTCCCGAGAAATTGTGCGATTGGATCACCAGCTTTCTTGCAGATCGGAGCATCAAGGTCGTTGTAGACGGTGCAAGCTCCGATTGCAAGCCTATTAATGCTGGTGTTCCACAAGGCTGCGTGCTATCGCCAACGCTGTTTCTTCTGCATATCAATGATATGTTGCAAACCCGTAACATTCATTGCTATGCGGATGACAGCACTGGTGATGATCTTTACACCGGCCGAGCCAATATTTCTCGGGAAAACGTCTCCAAGTGCCGGGATAAACTTGTGTCTGAAGTCGAGTCCTTGCTGAACAGAGTCTCGGATTGGGGGCGACTAAATCTAGTCCAATTTAACCCCCAGAAGACACAAGTTTGCGCGTTGACCGCTAAAAAGAACCCCTTTGTCGTATCTCCTCAGTTTCAAAGCACTCCCCTTGTTGCCTCAGCCAGTATCGGAATCCTCGGCGTTGACATATCGAGTGACGTGCAGTTTCGTGGTCACTTGGAAGAGAAGGCCAAATTGGCCTCTAAAAAGCTTGGCGTGCTCAGCAGAGCGGAACTGTATTTCATGTCGGCACACCGCCTGCAACTTTACAAGGCGCAGGTTCGGCCGCACATGGAATACTGTTCCCATCTCCGGGCTGGGGCACCCAGTACCAGCTCCTTCCACTTGACCGCATCCAGCGCAGAGCGGCTCGAATCGTCGACGACCGAGTGCTTTTCGATCGGCTCGATTCACTGGCACTACGAAGAGATGTTGTATCTCTTTGCATTTTATTTCGCATATACCATGAAGAGTGCTCTGAGGAATTGTTCGGATTAATCCCAGCCGGCAAATTTCGTGAACGCACTACGCGGCAAACGTCCCGATACCATCCACACCATCTGGATGCTTGGCGGTCCACCACAGTACGTTTCAAAAGGAGTTTTCCTCCGCGTACAACCTCTCTGTGGAATAGTTTACCACCGGCGATTTTTCCGGACCCATACGACCTGGGGACCTTCAAGAAAAGAGCTTACTCCTTTCTAAAGGGCCGGCAACGTACCTGCAATTCCCCTGGTGTTGCGGTTGATCATGGGCGGCGGTAGTCACTTAACATCAGGTGAGCCGCATGCTCGTTCCCCTCTTCTATAAAAAAAATTTCTTAGTACGACATCTTAGTTATTAATCTTGTCCGAAATTCTATATTATAATAATATTCTTTTTATTTCTCATCCTGATAGGGCCTTATTATATCACTAGACCCCCAATAAAAGACATGTTGCCCTGTCTATATATTTAATTAAATTTACTACTTAAAGTAAAAATAGTGTTGCGAGCTTGGGGTTCGTGACGATAAAAACTGCCGACTGAATTACCAAAATTGACAAATTGATTACCGAATACCAATTACTTAATTGAAATGAAGTAAAGTGTATGAGTATCTGTTGTACTTTTCTTGCAAAAAAAAACTTCAACTTTTAGCATGAAATTTGATAAAAAATAATTTTGACAAAAGTTTGAGTCATTCGTAAAAAAAAGTATGAAGACCTAAGTGGCCAGCTATTTCAAAAATATGCTTAGTTAATTCAATTTACAAAATTGTAATTTTATCCAAAGATAGAAAATTAAAACAAAATCTAATCTTTTCTTTAACGGTGAAAATGACAAGTGCGGTCTTGAGTGAAAGAGGAATTTTTATTGTATTGAAGATCGTATAATGTCGGTATTTACTATCTGAGTGTGGCCCACGCTACCCACCTTTTGTTTACTACGATTGACGAGACAGGGATAGGAAGAGTGTGAGTGAGCGAGAGAAGAGCATAATGTTAATACATTGTACCTTTTCTCGCACGACTGGGCAAATAACAGAGGCAAGTATTTACTATTTAGTAGGCATGTCGATTCACTCTTAAAAAATCGATCTCTGAATCGATTTGAATCGAAGGTACTAGAATCGATTATCGATTAAATCGAGGATTAAAAGATCGATTTTCGATTAATCGCGAGATTTTCTAACATGAAATTTCAAGAATTTTTTCTTTTTATCTTATTTTTTCTTTAATTGAACTTTAATATTTTTTTAAATAAAATATTAGTAATCTTATTAATTAACATTACTAATATTCCTTTTAACCACTCTTGGTAAGCTTGAAACGCTTGTGTTAAGAGTGGTTCGCAAATACGCCACTCGATCCCTTTTTTTACAGTGATTCCATGTATCGCTTTTATTTGACATTCTAGGCTAAAAACAACAACAATACTTTGACAAAAGTGCAAACTGCAACGTACATTTCTCGATAAATCTGTTTCAATCTAATAACTCACTATTTATCAAATTGAGAGCTACACGAACACAACACTGGTTATTTCCTTACTATAAACCTATATAAACTTTAAAATATAATATTTATTTACAGTATCTAAGTATTTAAAAAGTACTCTGTCTGTACTTATAGCTCACAGTGTGTATGTTTTTGATAAAAAGTAAAGTAAATTAACAAGTTCACAATTCAAACAGGTTCTGTTTGAATTGTGAACTTGTGAATTTACTTTAATATATACCAGCTATAATATTATATTGTAGTATGTGTATGTAGTCTTTGTTCACAGGTAAAATTAGAATTAGAATTTTAGAAATGAAAATGAAATGACAACTTTTCGATATTGTTGTAGGATGCGTTCATAAATATTTGTTTTATTCAGATATATATTGGGTTCAAATTTTCAACCATGTACCATTTAGGTTGTTTTTGCGTCCCCCAACAGCAAAAAATTAAAAACTGCGGTATCATACCCCATCTAATTTGAGGATTTTATCGCTAGTTCATGAATCAGATGAATCAGTCCGATTCGAAAGGTTTTTAGATCGATTCAGTGAATCAATGCGGTGCTCTGTATTCGAATCGATTCTTTGGAGTAAATCGATTATTTTACTCCAAAGAATCGATTTTTCGATTAATCGATTTTAGATCAACATGCTACTATTTACTATTTAGTGCGTCTCTCGACTTGTTGGGTATCGCAAGTGTGCATTCCTTTTAGACTTCTCTGTGATCTTAAATCAGAGTTACAACGACGACTCTTGGCTATTTCATAGGACTCTTAGTTTTGATTTGGACTTTGTTTTGTAGTTTTACGACGATTTGGCTTGTATCTGGACTGATATTGTGTTCCAAGATGCCACGTATTGAATATACGGCACAAGAACGTATAGAATATTGAATATATGTAAAAATGCACTTCATTATGGTGAATGCAGAAGCAGAGAAAATGCTGCTGCAGCCCTTTAAAGGGAAAGATAGCCTATCGCGCCTCACCCACATTACCGCTCCAGGATTATCCATTCCTTCTGGAACAACCTGTATATATAGTACATATTATATTACCTACAGTATATATTACAGTTTTTTCTTATTGTGTGTAACTTTTTAGTTAAAGTTAAACTATTTTAAAATTTATGCCAATTTCACTGCCTAGATTATTTCCGAACGTTGATGAAAGCTTTGTAGTGTGTGTTATATTAATGTATTCTTTATCAGCCCGTAATATTCTACTACTAAAAATTGGCCTCTCGTATTATAGAATGGAATTTTCATAAAACAATTGTCAAAAACCAAATAAAAACTATTTTAGACAGCGAGGAAACGATTAAAATAGAAGATGAAACCTTGACACAAGTAAGATCCGCTCGTAATTTAGGGCTTATACTAGACGGAGAGCAGAAATTTGTAGAACACATCAATAACAAGATAAGAAATTCGTACTTTAAACTTAAAACTTTATACAAAATAAGACCGTATATTAAAGAGGACCTACGCTTTCTCTTGTGTGACTCATTGGTGTTATCACAATTGAGCTACTGCAGCTCAGTCTTTGGCCCTAAATTGTCAGCTAATACCGAATGAGCAATACAGAGAGTACAAAATGCATGTGTTCGATACTGTTGTAATTTACCAAGAAGACAATTTATAACCCCATACTTAAATGAAAAAGGCATACTCAATATGGGCGCCAGGAGAGAATTACACTATGCTTCGATAGTCCAAAAAGGTAATTTGGAACAAAAAGCCAGAATACCTTTTCGAAAAACTCACCTGGATCAAAGATATTTCCTGTCGAAGTATTCGTTCTCACACACAAATTAACGCTCCTCCACACACCCGCACACAAAACAGCAAGATATAGAAGTTGTTTCAAATTCACTGCAGCGAGAATTTGGAATGATCTCCCCCCACCCATGAGAAAGAAAATGTCAATAGATTTCTTCAAAGCCAAGTATAAATTGGCTCTGTTAAAAGACAACTCGCTGGAGAGAATTTGAAACATCCCTATGTTAAGTTTTTACATTTAAGGGACTTTATTGTCATAAGGATACACACACACACACACACACACACACACACACACACACACACACACACACACACTCACACACACACACACACACACACACACACACACAAACACACACACACACACACACACACACACACACACACACACACACAAATAGACACATATAAGTCCAAAGAAAGGAAAGTTTATTTTATATTTTCTATTTCTCGTGTTGTTTTTGAATCTGTTGTTAGTTCATTTCGTAATGGTTGTTTTATGCATATTTTTAAATGTTTTTATTTGTCTTTAATGTTTTTAATCTTTTTTTTTGTATTTGCGATTTAATATTTATATAATATTATTTTAATTAAAAAAATATTTTATATATTATTTTATATAATATTATATCAATATTTAATTATTTTGTACGTAGTTTAAAAGTATAAGTCAGGTAAATGGGGAGCCTGCTACTTTGGACTCCCGCACAACACCTCAGGGAGGAGGGAGCGGCTGAAAAACAGCTCTGTATGAGATCTGTATCTCGTTACAGACAAAGCTGAGTCGTCTCCTTTTGTCTCAAATAATTATAATGTTCTTTTGTTTTAACGTGAATGTAACTGTGTGTTTTAGAGGCAATAAATTTATTATTATTATTATTATTATTATTAAAAAAACAACACAAAGGCAAAATATTCTAATGACCTGATTAGGTCATTAGAATATTTTGCCTTTGTATAACCGAAGTAAATATCCAGACCGCTGGTCTGGATATTAACATCGGCTATAAATGAGTTAGTATACCGCCATTTAACGGATTCAAATATCTATTAGCATAAATTTTTAAATAAAACTATACTTACAACAAATAGTTTCCAGTGCATTACGTCGCATGTAAACCCAATGGTCGAAGGGGCCCTTCCCTGCCTATAGTGATCATAAATCAACACATAATTTATTATTACATTATCTGTAATATGAAAAACACCATGAAGTGATGATGTAAGAATATCAACTACCATTCACTGTAAGCTACTACTACCAACACATTTACCTTGCATGCTATTGCGGATCTCAGCTGTTCAGTCTTCTGCACCTAGCTGCAAATATGTTGCTTTTAAATCGCTTGTATAATAAATACCTTCTTTTGAAATTCGACCCGACAATTTATTTTATAAATTACACTGTAAGCGGCCATTAACTGTAGGAAAAAGTACTTAATACAATGCGTGACGCATTTAATTAAGGACTAAAATAATTTTAAAAAATAAAACTTTTAAGTAAAAAAATGAAGAAGCATATTTGGGAACAGAACCTCTTTGATATAACAATGTCCACCCAATGAAAATAATCGTTCGAGCAGGTATGTATGAAGCGAACGGACTGCTCAGTCTTCTGTTCGCTAGAAAAATACTTTCGTCACTATTCGTATTCACTCATCGACTGCAACAATATTGTCGTTCACGAATACTAGTTATCAGTAGACTGTAAAGTAATAAACTAATAAAGCATCTATTTGTAGTCTGTATCGTATTAGCGCTTAGCGGTCAGCCACCGCAGTCTACATCATCTGAGGACGCCTCGTGTAGAGGCAAAACACGTGTCGTATTATAGTCGATGATGACGTACAAAAAGGCTGAAAATTTATATTGTCGTAAGATCGAGTATACCGTAATAAAACTAACACGACGATATATATATATATATATATATATATATATATATATATATATATATATATATATATATATATATATATAATCACGCCTGTCATCCATAGGGGTAGGCAGAGACTATAGACTACATTACAGACTTCGACTCCTCCACATGCATATACCTACGCATACATGCTCCTCGGTTGAGGGTACTCTTAATTTGGCCATTTTCAATATATCGCCAATTTGGTCGACAAACTTTCGCCTACGGCGTCTCTTACCGACTCTGCCGTTCACTTCTTTCCTCATTCATTTTTTCTACATGACTAAACCACCTAAGCATTCCTTTCTTAATCCTTGTCACAACATCATCTTGCATACCACACTCTTCTCTTATTACACAATTTCTTCCCCTGTCACTCACATTCAACCCTAACATACTCCTTATTTACCGCATATCTACTGCGTTTATTCTACTCTCGTGCTTCTTCTGCCACACCCAACTTTCACTACCATACGTTAAAGTAGGGACTAACACAGCATTGTGAATGGCCATACGTGCCTTTTTGACACATTCTGTCTTTTCACAATAGAGTGTATAACTCAATTTACTTTATTTCCTGCGTTCACTCGTCGTTCTATATATTTATCATATCTCCCATCCCTGCTGAATACACATCCCAAATATACAAACTCATCTACTTGCTCGACCAACTCTCCTTTCATTCTTATTTCACATATCATTTCACTTTCTTTTCTTTCAAAAACTATAACTTTCGTCTTACTTGCTTTCACTTTCATTCCCCTTTCTTTTAACGACCTTTTTATTAATGTAACCATCATTTGCAACTCTTCCGCCGACGATGCAAATATAACTTGATTATAGGCGTACAAAAGGCATTTGATTTATTTTATTTATTTATTTATTTATTTGCCATTACGTTACATTACGTAACATTGGTACGTCAAAATTACAATTACAATTATGTAAATACAATATATAATAAAATTAAAATTACAAATTAAAATACATCTTATTTACTTACATTACATTATTTTATATGTCAAGCAAGTCAGAACATTGCATATATTCTTCTATATTATGTCGGTTATATCTATATTTTGTCGGTAATATTATTGACGGCTACCTCACCCATTTTTAACTCGCATTCTTCAGCTTTCAAATATTCCAAACAACTGTCCGTAAATAGGTTGAACAGCCACGGTGAAGCCACAAAGCCCTGTCTGACACCTTTATAAATTCCAAACCAGTCTGAGTAGACCCAGTTGATCCAAGCACAAGCACTGGAGTCCCTATAAAGAGACTTCAATTCCTGAATCAACCCAGCACTAAACCAAAATGACTTCAGTGTTTGCTTTAACAAATGCCTATCCACTCTGTCATAATTTAGCGAAGCGAAGGTGAAGTCTTGGAGATATTACGTCACCCTGTCATACACCTCTCTGCAGTTAAATAGGTTTCGTACTCTGGTTCTGTACTCGGATAGTCATCATAGCCCTACTATACAAACACTTCAGCACTTCGATATATCGACAGTCAAGTTGACACCGCTGAAGAGAATGCAGCACCGCCCAAATTTCAACTGAGTCGAAAGCTTTCTCATATTCCACATAAGACAAAGTAGCAAATTATACTCTTCGGTTTTCTTATATGACAGAGTTTCTTCGCTTTGTCATAATTTAGCTTTCTTCGCTTTTCCAAGTCCATTAACGCACAAAAAACTTTTTGGTTTTGGCCAAAAACTTCCCCACAAACATGCGCAAGGAAAATACTTGATTTGTACACCCCATTACATTTCTTAATCTCGCTTGCACATTCAAAAATTTTCCATCTGTTTCCTTCATAACTCTTTTAATTAGAACCTTACCATACAGTTTTCACACAATGCTAAGAAGGCTGATATCATGGTACTTTTTACAGTCCTGCTGCAAACCTTTTCCTTTAAATATTGGGACTATCACGGCTTTGCACTAGTCGTCCGGCACCCGCTTTAGTTCCCAGCATAAATTAAACAAGGTGTACAGCAGGTCTGCCACCACTTCCTCTCCATCTCTTAGCATTTCGAGTGAAACTCTATCATATCCGGCTGCCTTATATGTTTTTACGCTTTTCATTTCTCCATCTATCTCTATATTCTCTTTCCTCTTCTTTCAGAATTACCATTTCATTGATTATTCATTTAATTCACACGTCTCCATGAGTGTGGAGACGTGTGAATTAAACACAAACACGTTTTCAAAATATTCCTTCCATCATATAAACACGCTTTCAAAATATTCCTTCCATCTCTTTAAATTCAAAACACATCATTCAGAATACAATCCTTTTCGTCTAGTATAGTATAGTATTCAATCTAGGCTGTTTTGAATTTTCTCTGGCAATTCTTACGAGTTTCTAGAAAATTTTAATATTTGCCTGGAAGTTATCCGATAGTCTTCTCATTCTCATCAGTTCTTTCGTACGTCTTATATATATATATATATATATATATTTTTATATATATATATATATATATATATATATATATATAAGTATATTAAAAATTTTACAATACCTCCACTTCTAAATCCTTAACAAGACGCCTGGACTGGCTGTTAAAAACCCCCTGAAATCCATCCAAAACCGGCTGACTAAAAGCTGGGCTTAACAGTTTTCGATGACGCTTCCATATTGATACTGCGAAAACAAATTAGAAAAAAACGTACTACACAACAACTTATTCATCATCTTGAAAAACTCTATCCCTTAGCACAACGTTCAATTAAATATAATATTTCAATTTAAACGTATAATAATCATTAATAGTTATATTCAGGTTAAAAAAAATACGTACCTGTTCCGGTTACCAAACCCTCCCCGAGCCAGGGTTTAGCAAATTCATAAAAAGTGTCCTTCTGTAAGCAAGCGTTAGCCACAGTCAAGCTATCTTCGGGATCTGTTAACACTGGAAAAAAATTAAGAGTTAAAATATTTGAGGGCACAATCATCATCATCATCATCATTACAGCCCTTCACAAGTCCACTGCTGAACATAGGCCTCCCCCAAGTAATGCCACAAAGCACGGTCCTGAGCCACCTGCATCCATCGACTTCCTGCATATCTTACCAGGTCGTCACTCCATCTAGTGGGCGGTCGCCCACACTACGCCTACCGGTACGAGGCTGCCACTCGAGAACCTTTCTTCCCCATCGGTTATCGGTTCTTCGAGCTATATGGCCGGCCCATTGTCACTTCAGCTTACTAATCCGTTGGGCTATGTCGGTCACTCTGGTTTTACTGCGGATATCCTCATTTCTGAGTCTATCACGCAGAGAAACTCCGAGCATAGCCCTCTCCATAGCTCGCTGAGCGACCTTGAGCGTCCTCATACGGCCAGCAGTGAAGGACCACGTCTCAGTTCCATATGTCATCACTGGCAACACGCACTGGTTGTACAACTTAGTTTTCAGGTTTTGAGGTATACCTGACGAGAAGATGTGTCGTAATTTCCCGAACGTTGCCCAGCCGAGTTGAATCCGTCGATTGAACTCTCGATCGAAGTTGGACTTACCTAGTCGGACTATTTGTCCCAGCTAAATGTACTCGTCAACAACTTTGATCATAGTGCTCCCAACAAATACCGGCATAGGTGTGACATGGACATTAAACATAATCTTTGTTTTGTCCTTGTTCATCTTAAGACCTATCCGTTGGGAGGCACTATTGAGGTCATTGAGCATAGTGCTTAAGTCCTCCAGCGATTCTGCCATAAGGACTATATCGTCGGCAAATCGAAGGTGAGTGATGTACTCGCCATTGATGTTAATACCGTATCCTTTCCAGTCCAGTAGCTTGAAAACGTCTTCCAACGCAGCGGTGAAGAGTTTCGGGGATATAACGTCACCTTGTCTTACACTTCTCTGCAGTTGGATAGGTTTCGAACTCTGGTTCTGTAGTCGGATAGCCATCGTAGCCCTACTGTACAAACACTTCAGCACTTCGATATACCGACAGTCAACTTGGCACCGCTGAAGGGACTGTAGCACCGCCCAAATTTCGACGGAATCAAAGGCTTTCTCATAGTGCACATACGCCAGGCAAAGTGGCAGATTGTACTCTTCGGTCTTCTGTACAATCTGCCGCAGGGTATGTATGTGGTCCATGGTACTGAAGCATTTTCGGAAACCGGCTTGTTCGGGAGGCTGGAAGTCGTCGAGTCTGCGTGCGAGACGATTCGTTATGACTATCGAAAACAGCACGTAGACGCGGCTCAGAAGGGAAATCGGTCTGTAGTTCTTCAAGAGAGCGTTGTCGCCTTTCTTAAAGAACAAGACCACCGCACTTTTGCTCCACGCCTCTGGAGTAGTGCCACCATGGAGGACGGAATTGAAGAGCTTCTGAAGGACTTCAAGTACCGGTGTTCCACCCGCTTTCAGAAGCTCCGCTGTAATTCCATCCTCGCCTGGGGCCCTGCCGTTTTTAAGGTGCTGGAGAGCCATTCTAATCTCGCTTAGACTGACGTTCGGGATATCATCGGAATAGTGTCGGATAAGACTTGCTCTTGGATCGTTACTCACACTTGCGTGTGGCTCCAACGATGATGTGTACAGCTGCCCATAGAACCTCTCAATCTCACTCAGAATCTCAGATATCCCGGAAACGATGCTGCCACACTCAGTCTTCAGCTTTGACAGTTGGCTCTTACTGGCAGACAGATCTCTGGAAAAGACTTTGACTTTGGAGCCCTGGTTCCGCTCGATCGCTTCTTTAATACGAGCAGTATTAAAGTTGCGTAAGTCTCGCCGCATGCATTTGGAGATCTGTCTGTTCAGTTGCCTGTAATGCTGTCAAATCTGTTGACGATTGCAGCCTCATCTCCCGTCTAACAGCCATGAGATTAAGAGTGTGATCGGAGAGTTTTTGTGTTCTTCTGCGGCGGGTCCTGCAGAACTTAGCTCCGACCGCATGGACAGTTTCCACGAGCTTGTCGTTCATATCGTCCACTGCATTGCAATCTTGTAGGCAATGGAAGCGGTTACGTAACTCGAGCTGAAAGTTTTCGGGATTCTGGATTAGAGCACGAGGGGGGACGGAGCGTTGACTTCATTAGACGAGACCTCTCCAACTTAACGTTTAGGTTCAGTGTGCCTCTAACCATTCGGTGATCGCTGCCGGTTTTCACCCTTGCGATCACTGAGACATCACTGAACAGTTGGCGTCTGGTCGTCATAATGAAGTCAATCTCATTTTTTGTCGAACCGTCGGGGCTCGACCAGGTCCACTTCCTGTGGGGCCGCTTCTGGAAGAAAGAGTTCATCATAAAGAGTCCCTTTTTCTCCATAAAGTCGGCCAGCTGCTGGCCCTTTCGGTTCCGTTGCCCTACTCCAAATTTCCCTAACTTCAGCTCACCGTTTTCTCGTGTGTCTAGTTTTGCATTGAAGTCTCCCATCAACACCGTGTAGTGGGTTTTGAAGGAATGCATGGTTTTGGAAATATCCTCATACATTTCCTCCACATCCTCATCGGGATGTGCAGAGGTAGGTGCGTAAACCTGTATGACCTTCAGCGAATACCGTTTGGTGATTCTGAGTATCAGGTACGCGACCCTCGTCGACACACTCTAAATCTTTACAACGTTGTTGACGAGAGACTTGTGGACGATAAATCCGACACCTTCTTGGGACAGATGGTTGCCCTCCCGGTGATAGAACAAGTTACCGGATTCGAGAATCACCGTGTTCTTCCCCTCTCTTCGGACCTCGGATAATCCTATAATATTCCAGCGCAACTTGTCTATCTCTTCTTCCAGCTCAAGGATCTTCTCGTCAGTCCTCAGAGTGCGTGCGTTAAATGTTGCGAGGTCGAGTCGTCGTAGGTGTCAACCGAACCTCCACCGGAGATTCTTAGCACCCCCTGCCCCGCCGTTACCATGGTCGCCACCGTAGCCAGGAATAGCGGGGCCGCCGGGGACTGGGGGCCGTCTATTTGTGTAATTGTTCATGGGGGGTATATTGCCATAGTTGCCACGCTTGGCGAGCGGGTTGGCAACCGCAGTTTTTTTTTGTCGTACAGTTGATGTTATCAGGAAGATGCTGCTGCCCATCTCCTGCCTGTTTCCCTCTGTCGCCTTTTACGACACCCACGGGAAGATATGGGTTAGTGGATATTCTTAACCGCCACTACGAGGGCACAATACCTTGTCATAAATACAGAATACCTTATTATAAATACAGAATACCTTATAATATATACAATACCGTATATGGTCCGAAGTCCAATTGACATCGCTATCACACCTCCCATTCTTAAGGTGGTATATGACATTTGTTTCACAAGATTCCAAAGATCTGGGAAATAAATAAAAAACGTAGCTATAAAAGTACGCAATCCTTAAGTTTAATTTATGCTTGGATTTTACCTATAATTGGTCTTAAATTAGGTGTTGAACAATAAAGTAAACAATGATCTTGCTGCATGTCCCATACGTCGCCGTCTCTTCGGAACATCACCCTGCAAACAGTTGCGTCGCGGATGTTAAGCAGGGATTTTTCGTTAAGAAACATAACCACCTTCCGTTAGTTCGTCATGTTAATAAGGAGCCTACTAAACAGAATCAGCAGAGGACAGATTCCACTCGAAGATGACGTCGTCGAAGTACACATCACGGCTCTTCCACTGATGATGGTGCTTCTCTACCAGAAACGGGGCACAATGGGTTGCAAGTGACCAGGTTGGGGGCCTCAAACGCTAAGTAATTCAACTCACAGGGAGGAAATTATACGAAAACGGTCTCAAAACATTTTAATAGCATAACGTGGCTGTTGGGGTAACAAATAATAGGCGCTGAGTGCCTCGATTACGTTCCGAATTGAAACTCCGGGAACTGCTATACGGTAACGGTAACTAACTGTAAGAGTATTCGGTAAAAATCTAGCAATTTATTTCATTTGGTCCGCAGAGGTATCCATAGCTATTTTAAGAAATTGGTTTGATTCGGTTTACCCATACTACCAACTAAACATTAAATGGTTAATTATTAGTTTAATTTTTAGTTTGGTTTAAAAAAAACAGATTTCTGTCAACAATATAAAGTAACGTTATATAACTTTAGTCGTAAAACCCACGAAGAAAGATCTTCAGCACGAGGCTTATAGACAGATTTCCTTTTCAAAATCATAGAATCGAACTCTAGGGACCTCAAAACGTGGAGATATACTGAAAAATAGATGTCTGAAAATGAGGCCCATTACAATAATGAACTGTAAATAACAGCAAGTTTTAAATAAATACTTTTTACGTTTCACATAATGCTTACATTTCCCAAAATTTTACCTTAAGAGCCCTCTTACATTTCGTCGTTACGCAAATTTAGGTATTTTAGACACCGATCGGGCAACGACCCGAGCTCCCGCGTTAGTAAGAGTTAGGAGTTACGAGCGATACTTTATTTCATATAATATATTCACTCGCTCGCACTATAATACTGTGAGTATAGCGACTACACGATCTTGATCTTCCATTATACAAGTTTTCTTAGAATGGAATTCAGTGGATAAATTTTTTTTTATTAAATTATCAAAATCTATTTGATACATTTTTCATTATTTATGAACCTTAGTGTTGAAATAAGAACACATAAATATTTAAAATATTCCGCAATAATCGAATGTTAGCCGATGTTTGTATTTACTAGCGATAGCATAGTGGTATAAATAAATAAAGACGATTGCAACCTGTTTTAATGAATAAAATAACCAACTGTACCTAATATTTTTAATCGGTACTTATAGTTAATTACCGTACTTTTTATTATAAAAGCTTATCTCGAGTCAATAATTTCGGGCAGTACACACTTTTTTTTTATAAAAACGCTTGTAACTTGGGTAACATATTCAAAATCCAAAATTTGTCGTCTTTGCAGATTTTTTATATTTTTACTGCATAATCCGGGCCAGTCCATATGGCAAGCATGCAAACATTTTTATTCTCCATTATTATTTCTTCAGAAATAGGATATTTATATTTTACGTTTAGTGACACATTGATACTTGTATTTATTTTTTCCCATTCCGACTGGTAAGAAAGCTCAGCTTCAATCATGCATAGTTAACTATCTGGTATAATAGTAACCCAAGACCGGACCCCAAGATACAGGATTATCCTAGTTTGGGGTCCAACGGAAAATAATTGTATATCTCACCTTGAACATTGTTTAGAGGTTTAGCCTACTGTTCTTGCTTACATTTGTTAAATCTATATGTCAATAAATTTATATTATTATATTATATTATATTAATGTGCAAACTTTATACTAATTGAAATATACTGTACGTTTAGCGTAATTCGACGCTATGAATATTCCAGAATAGAAGTTTCTAAATTATTCTCTTTTCCAAACTGTCTAAAATCATTTTTGAATAACATTTAACATTCAAATAATCCAGAACATTTACAATACAGAATATTCTAGACGGATAATAATTATTTTTAATCATTATTAGTGTTTGGATATATGACGAAATTCCCTAGATCGTTCATTAGAAGAATCCAAGACTTCTTAGAGCGATTGAAATTATTTTTAATCGATTTTAAACATTTAAATAAATCTCAGAATTTTTTAGATTATTTTAAAAAAAGTTTAAACTACAATAATTTGCAAATATTTTTAAACATTTAAATATATTTTATAATTTTTTAAAACGTTTTAGATATTTTTGAAACCATCTAGAACGTTTTACTAGTCTAGAACTATTTTCAAATAATTTTGAACATTTCAATATATTTTAGAGCTTTTCTGATTCTGATTCAATCTAGAAATATTCTAGATCGATAAAAATTATTCTTAATAAAATATTTTCAATGTTTGTATATATGATGGAATTTCTGAGATCATTCGTGGAATTTGAGGAACAATTTAGAACATTTTGGATCGACTACAATCGCTCATTTTCGTAATTCCTTTTAGAAATGATAAAATATCCATATATAAGTATATATATATACATATATATATATATATATATATATATATATATATATATATATATATATATATACATATATATATTATTTTATATCAATAGATGATAACAAGTAAACTCATTGTCCACTTGCTCTGCTCTATATATACAGCTTAAACGTGCATTGTGCCTGGCAAAAAGAAAGCCTTAAATAAATTTTTATACATATCTGAAATTATTCTTGATAACGGGACATGAGGGGTGAAAACATTTATCACGGTAAATTATATACTTACGAACACTATCTCCCATCAAAAGATGTGTATGTCCAATGAGTGGCAATGCTCCTGGGTAAGCGGGTGGTTCCAGTTTAGACTTTGTGTTTCTATGCCACCATGTCCAACATAGCGCGAACGTTACACAAAATAAGCATAACATTAACATCTCGATCAAACCTAAAATATTAATGATCATATGAACATTGACTTAAATATATTTTTATAAATGACATGATTATAACAACATTGACTTCAGCAGTGATAGAGCCATATGAAATACTACGACCTCGCAGAATACTAGCGTGAAATAGAGACCAACTCTTCCCCATAAGGTAGCGGAATAAAAAAAATAAGACATTACTCCAGGTGTGTACCAGCACCTTATAGTGGAGCTTCTGCGCCGAAGCTACCCTATCCTTCCTGAGCGTGAGTATGTAAAAAATCACAATATTTTGTTATCTAGCACTAACGGCTTTAAGTAAGCTCAATCTTGTTTAGACTGGTAACTTATACGCAATTAGGTATTGCTAGTAATGCCGCTAATGCGGGTGTGACATTGAAAATACGTATAATAATATTTTAATTGATAAAGTTGTTAAGATACTAGATGAAATAAAAAAAGGCAAAGGTATTTGTCGTTATTTGTGGTAAAGATCTTTGGTCGTTCTTAAGTGAGAGATATTTAATGATTAAAATGATAAATAGGGTTGTGTTCTCGATATTAGGTGTATTAGGGGTCTTGCCAAGAAGATCCTTCAGGAATTGTTGCCATTTTGATTCAAAATGTCATTGTGTCTCAATATGCCGATGATTTTATTTTTTATGTGAGTGACAGGAAGTTTCAAAATTGTAAAAATAATTTACAATCTGGTGTAAATGCTTTGATAATTTTGCTGGATAACATAGGACTCTTATTATTGGCACCCCTGAGGACAATTATGTAAGACCTCGTTTCCAGTAAAAGGGGTTTCCGGTTCTTCACAATTACTATAAGAAACACAGCAACATTGAGCTGCTATTTTACGCTGGTATTCTGTAAAAGAGAATTAGAGAGCGCAGATATTCGCGGCTAAGATGTATAAAAAATAATAAAAAATAAAAAGGTCGTTCATAAGAAGCTGTAGAGCCTGAATTAGAGTAGCGGGCTATTATAACAATTCGAACATACATATATTATAATTTAAAAAAAACGATATGGGATTTTGATTTTAATTATTATTACAACCCAATCACCCCATAGAAACACTCCTACAGAATTCTGAAACAAATGTCTTTTTAATTTAATTTTTGAATATTTTTATTTTAAGAAAAATAAGAATTGAAAAACATAGGTAGTAAATAACGCAATAATTTGACAAAAAAAAACACTTAAGTTTATTGACATTTTAGAATATGTATGAAGTAGCCACGTTTTTTAAGATATTGGCCAACCTGAAGCGCGATGGCAAGACTAGATATTTACACAGTTTAACAGTTATTTCGAGATATTATCCACTGGTTCTAAAAAAATTGAAGCTGAAGTACTCAATAATGTGAACGGAGGTTTCTCAGACTGCTGGAAATATATTTTTTTGCGTGGCCGAGGTACTAGTACCTGTGGGATTATTGATTACTTACCGGACAGCCTGTATAATTTTTTTCTGATAAACTTAATGTACTTTTTTATTTTTGGCACCTATTACATTATTTCCACACGTACCGGGCTGACTGGGATAGAATGCCGAAAGGCATTAAGTCCATGTTTTACAATGAATAAATGTGACCAACTTATTTGCAAAGTAAAAAATTTAATCAAATTTTAAAGATAGGTATTTTAAGATTATTTAATGAAGAAAATCTATACTCTTTGAAGAAAGCAAGGCATCATCCTACATATACTAAAAATTACTTTGTCCATATATTTTACCAACCGGAGAGGATACCTGCGACTCGTTTACAACATAGCCGTCACCAAAAGCGTGTAGGGCGTCGTTTAAAATCCCGTGATGGCGCAGAAATTAAAAGCTCTCCGGACAGGAATCGTGTTGGTCTTGTGGCTATGCTTCCCCGAGCAGTGCTAATTTGCCATTCATCCTGAGCACTCACGCTCACGCTCAGGAAGGATAAGGTAGCTTCGGCGCAGAAGCTCCACTATAAGGTGCTGGTACACACCTGGAGTAATGTCTTATTTTTTTTATTCCGCTACCTTATGGGGAAGAGTTGGTCTCTATTTCACGCTAGTATTCTGCGAGATCGTAGTATTTCATATGGCTCTATCACTGCTGAAGTCAATGTTGTTATAATCATGTCATTTATAAAAATATATTTAAGTCAATGTTCATATGATCATTAATATTTTAGGTTTGATCAAGATGTTAATGTTATGCTTATTTTGTGTAACGTTCGCGCTATGTTGGACATGGTGGCATAGAAACACAAAGTCTAAACTAGAAACACCCGCTTACCCAGGAGCATTGCCACTCATTGGACATACACATCTTTTGATGGGAGATAGTGTTCGTAAGTATATAATTTACCGTGATAAATGTTTTCACCCCTCATGTCCCGTTATCATTATTTTATATCAATAGATGATATATATATATATATATATATATATATATATATATATATATATATATATATATATATATATATATATATATATATATATATATATATGTATATATATATATATATTATTTTATATCAATAGATGATAACAAGTAAACTCATTGTCCACTTGCTCTGCTCTATATATACAGCTTAAACGTGCATTGTGCCTGGCAAAAAGAAAGCCTTAAATAAATTTTTATACATATCTGAAATTATTCTTGATAACGGGACATGAGGGGTGAAAACATTTATCACGGTAAATTATATACTTACGAACACTATCACCCATCAAAAGATGTGTATGTCCAATGAGTGGCAATGCTCCTGGGTAAGCGGGTGGTTCCAGTTTAGACTTTGTGTTTCTATGCCACCATGTCCAACATAGCGCGAACGTTACACAAAATAAGCATAACATTAACATCTCGATCAAACCTAAAATATTAATGATCATATGAACATTGACTTAAATATATTTTTATAAATGACATGATTATAACAACATTGACTTCAGCAGTGATAGAGCCATATGAAATACTACGACCTCGCAGAATACTAGCGTGAAATAGAGACCAACTCTTCCCCATAAGGTAGCGGAATAAAAAAAATAAGACATTACTCCAGGTGTGTACCAGCACCTTATAGTGGAGATTCTGCGCCGAAGCTACCCTATCCTTCCCGAGCGTGAGCGTGAGTGCTCAGGATGAATGGCAAATTAGCACTGCTCGGGGAAGCATAGCCACAAGACCAACACGATTCCTGTCCGGAGAGCTTTTAATTTCTGCGCCATCACGGGATTTTAAACGACGCCCTACACGCTCTTTGGTGACGGCTATGTTGTAACCGAGTCACAGGTATCCTCTCCGATTGGTAAAATATATGGACAAAGTAATTTTTAGTATATGTAGGATGATGCCTTGCTTTCTTCAAAGAGTATAGATTTTCTTCATTAAATAATCTTAAAATACCTATCTTTAAAATTTGATTAAATTTTTTACTTTGCAAATAAGTTGGTCACATTTATTCATTGTAAAACATGGACTTAATGCCTTTCGGCATTCTATCCCAGTCAGCCCGGTACGTGTGGAAATAATGTAATAGGTGCCAAAAATAAAAAAGTACATTAAGTTTATCAGAAAAAAATTATACAGGCTGTCCGGTAAGTAATCAATAATCCCACAGGTACTAGTACCTCGGCCACACAAAAAAAATATATTTCCAGCAGTCTGAGAAACCTCCGTTCACATTATTGAGTACTTCAGCTTCAATTTTTTTAGAACCAGTGGATAATATCTCGAAATAACTGTTAAACTGTGTAAATATCTAGTCTTGCCATCGCGCTTCAGGTTGGCCAATATCTTAAAAAACGTGGCTACTTCATACATATTCTAAAATGTCAATAAACTTAAGTGTTTTTTTTGTCAAATTATTGCGTTATTTACTACCTATGTTTTTCAATTCTTATTTTTCTTAAAATAAAAATATTCAAAAATTAAATTAAAAAGACATTTGTTTCAGAATTCTGTAGGAGTGTTTCTATGGGGTGATTGGGTTGTAATAATAATTAAAATCAAAATCCCATATCGTTTTTTTAAATTATAATATATGTATGTTCGAATTGTTATAATAGCCCGCTACTCTAATTCAGGCTCTACAGCTTCTTATGAACGACCTTTTTATTTTTTATTATTTTTTATACATCTTAGCCGCGAATATCTGCGCTCTCTAATTCTCTTTTTACAGAATACCAGCGTAAAATAGCAGCTCAATGTTGCTGTGTTTCTTATAGTAATTGTGAAGAACCGGAAACCCCTTTTACTGGAAACGAGGTCTTACATAATTGTCCTCAGGGGTGCCAATAATAAGAGTCCTATGTTATCCAGCAAAATTATCAAAGCATTTACACCAGATTGTAAATTATTTTTACAATTTTGAAACTTCCTGTCACTCACATAAAAAATAAAATCATCGGCATATTGAGACACAATGACATTTTGAATCAAAATGGCAACAAATCCTGAAGGATCTTCTTGGCAAGACCCCTAATACACCTAATATCGAGAACACAACCCTATTTATCATTTTAATCATTAAATATCTCTCACTTAAGAACGACCAAAGATCTTTACCACAAATAACGACAAATACCTTTGCCTTTTTTATTTCATCTAGTATCTTAACAACTTTATCAATTAAAATATTATTATACGTATTTTCAATGTCACACCGCATTAGCGGCATTACTAGCAATACCTAATTGCGTATAAGTTACCAGTCTAAACAAGATTGAGCTTACTTAAAGCTGTTAGTGCTAGATAACAAAATATTGTGATTTTTTACATACCATTCCGAGAATGGTGTGAAATAATTTGCAAAGACAGAAAAGAGAGAAATAGGTTTAAGTTTAGTTTCACTAATTAGTTTAGCACCAGCACAAATTCTTCTTTGTTATAAGTCCAAGTCTTTTCATGGATATTATTTAAAAAGAAAATAGCAAGTTGAAAAATTAATTGTAAAAAAAAAACCGTGACTGCAAAGTTTCTATAAAAATAATTTTTTTTTATTTCTTTTAATAATTGCAATATTTGAAAAATATTTTTAAGTTTGCATATATTTAAATACTTGGGTCATGCAATAACTTACCAAAGTTTTCTCGGAGCTAACTGAGAACACGAATGATATTATCTTGTTCTGTTACACCAATATATATATATATATGTATATACCAAATTGTTGCTTTTTATGTTGTTTTACCGGTGTAAAGATTTATTTCTTGGTTCTCCTCCACACATTACTTATTTTTTACACTTCATATTTGTATTGTTCAGTAAACGAGTTACGGTCTTATGTTAATGATTTTTTTTCCCGCTTGTTTATAATAACTTACATAAGAATATATGTAAAATTCTGAAAAATTCTAATTAAAAACGTTTTCATAGTTACTCCATACAATTTTAAATAGTTCTTAATCTTAGAGTTATTTTATTTATTTATTTTTACAAAATAAAGTGTTATTCGTAACTTCTTTTTTTAAATAATATGTAAGACCGCTCTTAAAGTGGCAAACGAGCAAGCGGCTCACCCGATGGTAATTGCACCCCATGAACAGCTGCAACACCAGGGAATAGCAGATACGTTGCCAGCCTTTTAAAAAAGAGTAGGCTCTTTTGTGAAGGTGCTTAATTAATATTACTCCGGAAAAATTTTTGGGGGTAGTAGATTCCACAAAGTAGTTGTGCGAGGGAGAAAACTTCTTGTAAATCGCACAGCTGTGGACCGTCAATTAACTATAATATAGATGGTATCGCGAGTTTTCTCGAGTTGAGGTATGGCGAAATTGAGCGGCTGAAATTAGTCCGAATAATTTCTCTGAGAACACCCCGTAGTACATGCGATAATGTCCAACCGGTTCGCGTTGTGACAACGTATTTAATGACGTACATACATGATGTAACAAAAACGAAAAAAGCTAGGTGTGTACCAAAGGAAATCATAGATAGTGTGTATGATAAATAACGCTTAGTACTGATAATGATGAATATTAGTGTGTCGTTAACAATTTGTCTAACACCTAAATTTCCCATACATATTAAGATATCTATATATTGATTGAGGACTTGTCAAACAAGATTGTATAAATACGACTAATTTTTAAATCTTCCTTGCTATAAATTTCAAGCAGCAATAGATATTTCACTTTATCTTGTATTGGTGTATTTTGCAGGGATTGAAAAGACCATAAGGATTTTTTATATTTATCTTCGATTTTGATCGGGGTTATAAATTTAAAAATGCAAAAATGAATTTCGTAAATTTTTAAGGTGGGTTTTATGAGTGCGTCCGTGGCTGCCTATACCGTACGTCATTTCTCACTTAAATTATTGATTTTTAGGGTTAGCGTTTAAGGTAGTGGAATTTGCTTGATGTAGAAATAAATGATTAAAGAAATTGAATTGAATGTTTTAGTATTAACGTGAAAGGTCTACCAATATGAACCAAGTGAATCTCAAAAATAAATTGTGTTATTGGCAAATTAACAATTTGAAAAAGAAAAGATTAAGTAGTTTCATTAAAATATAAGTCTATATTTAAGATTAGACCTAATATGCAAAAATAAATCGACAATAAATTAAAAAATGGGAAATCATAATAAAAATAAATTCATCATGTTCATGTTCATGTCTGTTTTACCGGTGCCTTACTTATTCAGGATAGTAATCGGAAATAATATTGTTGCGCTGCAAGAACTATTAATTTCATTTCAAAAAGTTTTTGTTTACGATTTCATTCGGGTGGAGTTCAAACTGCTAATGACACTTTTGACATACCGTGAAACACACACAATACAATGCCACAAGGTCCTTTTTTACATTTCTTACCAGGATAACACCCTATCTAGTATCTCAACATTTCTTTCTCGCTTTAATTTCATTAATACGTGTAAATAATAATTTTACTGGTATCCCAACCTATATGAACTCCCACTGGCAACACTAAACACCTCATGTCATTGGGAATTTATATTCACTAGAAATAGGAAAAAATAATTAAAATGCAAGCAAGCCCTTAGGGTGGGTAATAATATACATCAGGGTAGGGTTGTACACAGACGAGGCGTCAACTTTATATAATTTTGATCGAAGAACACTTACATGTAAGTTACTTTGATCAAGTAATTATATTCGTTGACGCCTCCTCTGTATTTGTATACTACGTATATGTTTAAAGATTTGATTGCTTCATTTTAATTATTTACTGTCCTAAATTACGTAATTAAGAATTTACAACAAAACAAACAATAAGCATAATATATAAATTTAGATAATATAATTTTCCATTATGAATTATTGTTTATTTATTTTATACTTTCAAATGCTCTTAATTAATAATGGCCTCTTATAATAAACGGAAAAAGTTTTGGATGTAAGATTGTTGTCTTTCTAACACTTTCAATATCATCAATACCACTTCTTCTAGGATGAGAAGGGAATGCATGCCTGGTACTATATACCTACAGTAAAAAGTAATGTATTTTCTTGTTAAAATTGTTTGATTTATAGCAGGGATATTAAATAGTTTTCAAAATTAACAACTAATTTACTAAATTTCATACAGTTTTAGTGACATACAAGTGATATTTTGAGGTAACTGATACAAGTGGCAAAATTAAAAACTTTGCACAATCGACTTCAATATAAATAAAATGATGAGATCATCGATCATCAAAGTTAATCAAATACGCATTAAGGACAACTTAAAAACCTCTAATCAAATCTACATGAGTCAATCACACTTGAATCACCAGCTTTCAAATAAAAAAGATTCATCAAAATTGGCTCACCCAGAGAAAAGCTATGAAGCAACACACATAAAAAACATACAGATGAACTGAACACCTCCTCCTTCTTGAAGTCGATTAAAATACTCATATTTTCTCTTACTACTGTATTTTCT